CGGACCATTTCCCACAACTTTTGCCTTATTTGACTCACTGTTTAACGGAAAAATTCTTAAATCCCGCATTTGAAAATTAAATGTTGAGAATATACGAAAAATGATATTTTTGCATATTTAGACTCAAAAAACGTACAAAGTGGTTGGGTTTTTTGCTGATTTAGAATTTTTCGGTCATTTCCAACAATTCTTGACTTATTTGCAACATGATTTTGCGTGAAAAATGCTTAAATCCCGCACTTGAAAGTTAAATCTTTAGGATTTAACGAAATTCGGGAAAATCATGATTTCAAGGCCCCATAAGGCTTATCGGGTGTACTCAAAAGGCCAGTTTTTCTTGTTTTCGCCCAAATTTTACGTCCTACCCAATCAGCTTTCATTTTTTGGCCGTTTTCGCAAAGTTGAAAATTAAATCTTTGGATTTAATTAAATCCGAACCACTTACAACGGGCATAAAATTATAGAATAAGACCTAATTCATACTGTAACTATCAATTTAAACATAAACTGATTCCGATGTCTTTGAAAAATGGCCGCTTTCGTGAATAAAAAGCCGCCAAAAAGCCAGTCGTTGGCCATTATTTTGGCTTAATTTTCGCAAATTTTCCAGAAAATTTTAATTGTTTTCATTGATTTTTGTCATATATTTATCCTATTTACGATCATATAGCTCAACATGAAGATTCATCACAAAAAAATCGTTTCCAGTGGCGCTAGATCTTCGCTTGGCCGGCGCTAGATCTTCGCTGACACAATGATGTTTGAAAACTCGTGAAATAGCTTGAAATCACTGAAAACATTAGTAATTCATCGTTTCACATTGTCATCGTCTGTGTTGATATTTTATAAACATTTTTGTAGAAATTCTCAAAAAAATCGGTTTGGCCGAATACTTTTTTTGCGCACAATTTCGACCTCTCGATAAACATGGCTACAGAAACGGCAAAAATCATGTTAAATATTTCCAGAATTGGCCCGAATTTATAAGAACATATTATAAACTTAACAAATAGATAGAAAATTGTTCGGTGTTTATCATTTATAAAACGAAAAAAACCAAAAATATAAATTTTTTCCAAGTGGCCGAAAACTTTTTTTGCACACTGTATGTGTACTTATGTTCGGAGAGAAAGAATACCACCGTACGGAAGTGAATGGGAACTTTTTATGTAACGTTTTTCATCATACAAGCGGCAAAATAAAAACGTAAAGATATACGCCTCAATAAGAGGGTAAAAAAACAACTACTGAGAGTAATTCATTCATGAGATTTTTTTCCCTATCTGTTCGTTTATTTTGATTTATTCCTTTAAGAGATTTCAAGCAGAGCGTGGGAGGCCTTGGCAAAAACAGCCAGTAGTGGTAGCAGCATCAGGCGCACATATGCCGTATATTGCCATTATTCAGGTATACAATAATTAAATCCCGGGGCTTATGCCAAAGTCTCTCGTAACGAATGACTTGAATTGATCAATGTTTTGTTGTTGTCATCGTCATCGTCGTTGTCGTCGTCGTCGTCATCGTTGTCATAGATTGTAGCCATTACGAGAGGGAAAGGTATGATACAATTCAATCACATTGCTGTTCTTAATCTTGTTTCCTTTTTTTTCGTATGGCCACAGCATTGCACAGTTACTTTGAACTCAGTGCCATGATAAACTGGTGTGTGGTTTTGGTTTTGATTGTATGCGCAAAGTTGTGGATTGCTTAGGCAGCGAAAAGCGTTCAAAAAACAAAAACCATTGTATCCGGATGCATGAGAAATCAAGCTAATCGAACGGCTCAAACACATCTCAATCAATTGATTGACACTGAAATTCCCAATTTGAATTTCAAATTTTCGCCACAATGAACTCTACGCTTCATACATTCTTTCCCCTTTTTACTAAGTGCCGCATGCCATTGTGGGTCTGAATGTGCTGTTTTTTTTTCTCTCGGTTCTTGTTTTGGGAGAATAAAGAAGGAAAAAAAATGTAAACAGGATGCGTAACGATACAGTATCGTCGAAACATACGCAGTTGATATGTTATTTATGATTCGACTAGCTGAAAATATGGACTTTTCTGATAACTTGTTCTTAAACTGATGCACGAGTATTCGAGAGCGGTATTTGTGAATGGCTGTTGTTGTTGTTTGTTTTTTTTTGTTCGGCTAATATCATTTCCATTGTTGCTGATTCTCTGTCATTTGTTTGATGTCAATTTTGTTGGTGATTTAAGCACCCATAATTCATCGTTTGCGTTCCACATAATGTGAATTTGTCATCAGAGCTATAGCAATATGAGCATCGAGCTCAGTGTATTTGAAAGACTTTCGTTGGACGTATCGAACCGTAGCACTTCTATCGCTCTCAGTTCGCATTTGGAATTCAGAACAAGACCAGTTGAAAGATGTTTTTTTAAGTAAGGTGATATTTATTCGGTGAAAGTGACACAATGTGTTCGAGAGACGGTAAAGTCAAAGTGAATATCACAGCGATTGTAACGAGTTTCCGGCGGAAATGAACAAGAGAGTTTCGTTTTTTTATTTCATCGATCCACGTATTACCATTAGTTGTACCATGTGTGAGGCACGGACACCTTAAAGCAATATTTTTGATAGATCCATTTTATCGGCATATTTATTGTTCTGATCACATTTTTAGCACAACTGAGCTCAAACGAAAACAAACAACTTACGTTTTTCACCGTAACGTCCCATTGGCGTGTATCGCGGTTGTTGGCATTGTGGCTGGGGGACGGTTTTTTCCACAATGGCGTTAGCATATGAATCGAACGAACACCACTAAACGTACCATGCCACTTCAGGTGACCATAGACGGGATCTTTATCGTTGTACGTCCATAGTAATTTCATTGTGTTTCCCTGCGAAAAAATAAAATTAAAATAAAGTCAGCCTAAAAGAATCAGCACAAATTGCAACTGAAGACAACAAAAAGCGCAATCGCGTTCAATTAAAAGAAACATTTCAATAAATAAAGGAATCGATGTAATTGTTATCGGCAATTTGCACCGAACGTTGATAAATGGTCTGCGAATGAAAGAGAAATATATTTTCAAATTCTTTTCCATAAATAAGTTAGCAATTCTCCCTCCGATCAATTCATGTCATCATCAATATGCAGACGTACATTTTTTTTTCTCTTCTCTGTGTCGTGTTTGTTTCATCGGATTTTTTGCTCATTTTTTCCATGAAAATACTGTTTTGTAAATAAATCTTTCTATCTCAATATCAGACGAGAATTCGTTGGCTGGAAAATTAACTCACCGTTATGGTTACATCATGCGGATCACATGTTTCCAACGGTCGTCGAAATACAATTTGCGTATGCGTCCCATTTTGGTAGCCCTCTTCAGCCAATACATTTTGTGTATCATCTTGCACGGGAATGGTGTTATCGCCGCCGGTGCCATGACAGTCCTGAAAATCAATCATAAGCATTTTTATTTCTACATTCAATCGATTTCAATGCGTGTGGTGTTTTTCTTCTCTTTTTTTTTCATTTATATTGGGCGCTCTTCCCCCCTCCCCTTCCAATTGTCTTTCTATCCGAATGCGAATAATAGGTGAACTCGATGATAACCACAACGAAAAAAGATCTAATGATTCGCGGAATTTTCCAGAAAATATGATTGAATTACATCATCACACACACATAACGAACAAATAACATAACAAATGATAAAAAAACGGCATTTCGAACTTATATTTAAAAAATGATATGTGCAATTGGAGCGCACGAATACATGGCCACACAAAATAAACGCACACACACACACATACAAACACGCTAGATGCCACTACGAACGGCTGAGAAAGGAGAAAACGATTGGCAGATGGCTTGTAAATGACAGATGTTTCTCGGTATGAATTTTGGTTTCTTTGTTTTGCCACTCGACAACTCAAATTCAAACGTATTCATTCTCTTTTTAACGGCTCTAAAAAAAACGACGAAAAGCTGTAACTGTAAAATAATAAAATGCTATTGATCGCGTTCAGTATGCATTGGCTCATGTTCTTTTTTTTTCAAATAACAATAGCACATGCATGAATTTGCGTATGAGTGTTTTTTTAGCATGCAGCTGAACGATTTCATAGAGGTATAAGATAAGGGAAAACCAATTAAATTTAAAGCGTTTCAACAATATTTCATGATCACTATTCTGCTATTTGTTGATTGTTGAAATGATAAACTCAAAGGAAGAAAAACAAATAACAAAGGTGAATTGAATACAAATGACGAGAAGAAACACACATGCTAGACAGAGAGAATGTGGCGGTGCGGTCTGCACGGATGCGAAAGCATTTCCTTCCGCTCTTTTTTCTGTTTCTTCTTCTTCTTCAATCTCTCACTCTTGATGTGGTTATGCACCGGTGACGTTCAACCGTATCCCCATTCACACGAATGCTGTACTGTCTCCGTCTCCTGGTCTCGTGTGCATTTGGAGTTTTAATAAAACATTTCAAGTTGACAGTATGACATTCACTTGCCCGAAACTCGATGAAACGGGCAAAATGAAAATATACGAAATGTCGTTTCGTTGCTACTGCTGCTGCTCTTTTTTTATGCACTTGAATTGGCCAAGTATTTTAAAATTGCAAGAAGCTACAGTCATTTATTCGGTGCCAGCTTAAATTAATATTCAACATGAAACGAGAAATTATTTTTAAAGCAGCTAATTGGGTCTCTTTTAGTCAATGTCATACTTTAATTACTGCATAACTCAACTCAAGTCATACAAAAAAGTATACGAGCGAGATAGGGTTTGTGTCTCTATAAGATGTGTTTTTATGGTCTTCTGTGTTCATGTGCGCGAGAATTTTGCATTTCCGTTTTCGTAAATATCTTTTTACAAATACATTTGAAAGTCATGGAGAGGGAGAAAAAAGAAACACACACAACGCTCAGCGGTGTATTTTGGAAGTTATCAGGAATTATGCATCGTTGAATTCGAATATTTCAACGCATCTACACACAAACGAAAGAATAGCAAACAAAAACTAAAAAGTGTGTTTATTTTCGTACGTTTTGCATCATGGAAATTAGTTTCATCGATTCATACCACGCGATATTCATATAGAATACGAATTTTGATGCGCTAAAATACGCAGGAATTTTTGATTAAGCTGTAGAATTCTCGCGTTTCACATTACACTATACATCAACGAAAATGAGTTTAACCATATTAAGAACCGACCATTTCAATGTCATTCCTTCGCTCGAAACGAGCACTCTACACGGAAAATTTACCGACAAGATAGAATTGGCTTTGGGAATTTTCGCACCGCAATTGAATAAATTGCGTCTATTTCGTGTCTCGATGCATTAGTCGAAAAGTTTATGTCGCTCGTAAAATATCCTGTTTTAGTTTGAAAATCCACCTTGGCACCCATGTGCAAATTACATTGTGAACGAACGAAAACGCGTGCATCGAATCGCTGTGAATTCAAGACGAATATTTCAATTATTATTACTTTCGTCGTAAGTTGTTCAGCTCAAAAATGCCGGATGCAGAAATAATATTGTGGAAACGAACTGAAGAACAGAAAAAAAAATGGGCAACAGTAGAAAAAGAATCTGCTTGTTTCGACTATTTCGAGTGCATTTGGAAGTCTCAGTTTTTGAGATAGTCACGCCATTTGGTTATTACCTCGTCGGGCGCGCGTACAGACGTAGCAATTCTATTTTCTTTTGAATGCATTTCATGGAAATTCAGCCATAGGTTCGGTCGTATTCTGCAAAAGTCACGGACAAAAAGGTACGAAATTGGTCTGAACCATAGTGAAAATGAGTTTCGATCCAGAACATAGAACACTGCGCAGCGACTGGCCGAACAGAGAAAACAGAAGAACAAAAAATACATGTAAATCGGCAGCAGCGGCTTTACGTATGGCGGAATGTCGAGATAATAATTGATTTCCGATTTTGCCACAGCAAAAAACAGAAGAACACAATTCAATAAACAATGCCAACAGAAAATGAGTAGCAGCAGCAGCAGCTCTACAATGCACACGATGAATTTCGTTTTCAACCTTGCTATGCGCTCGAAACATACATTTCGATACAATTTATTTGCACAGTGAAAAAAAAGCAACCGATCTGCAACCAAAATAAAGAAGAAAAAAAAAACAAACCGGCCATAAACACATACACGAAAACGGGCAGACACAAAACTGGACACCGTGCAGCCGCCACGTTCTTTGACGCTCAATGAATCAATCGACTGAAAATGCAACACACACACATATGCAGACATGTTCGCTCGGGCCAAATGGAATGGCGCATAAACGATTATGAACGTGAGAACCGAATTCGCAAACCGCATCTCTCGCTATCATTTATTTACGTTTTCTCATTCGCTTGCGCGTCTCGTTTATTTTTCACCTAAATAAATTGCCGATTACTTGACTCTTCTCGTTCTTTCTGCATTATTATTGTTATTATGATTGTTTGCAGCAGTTGACGTTGGTGCTGGTATCCTTCGTGTCCATTTAACTCGTCGTACACTCGTCGAGTGGATCAATGTGCGTGTATAGAATGCGCACAGGAATTTCAACATTAAGCGACTTAAAATCGGATGGTGAACCCATAGAATGAAACAAAAATCTGCGTTCAACTGCTGCCGATAACTTTGCGATATTCTTACGAAATGGGAGTCATTTCATTTAATTTGCATGCCATTTCCTTGTCAGCAAACAATTTTTGACTTGCTAATCATTGAATTGAGCCAAATCTCACTTCTACGAGTAGCAATTCAATCACTCTTCTTCATCGCCAAAATCATATTGAGCGATGGCCATTTGGCTACGGAATGTTTTTAGTATTCATGAATGCCGCATTGATAATTCGCATGCGAAAAAAACACGTAGAACACTGGTAGTGGTTGCCCTCGGGCATTTTTGGCTGAATGAGAATGAGTGAGACGACTTTAATACAAAATTACGATGTGATAACTTCTTCGTTTTTTTTTTCAACATTCTTAATTTTTCGATTTTCTTTGTGGCATACGTATTTAGTTTCTGTCATTCGCCGCAATTTTTCGTCTTCGTTTTTTCTCGTTCTATCCCTCGATCATTGGATACGGTTTTATATCGTCCGCTTCGATAAGTTATTTGTTGAAATGAAGCAATTTAAATATGCGGTTGTTTTTTTTTCGCCTTTTTTGTCTTCACTCTACTCGGCTGCCAACAAGAAATTCCACTGAATTTGTTGCTCTTTGCTCGGTTTCATATGCATATGTTTGAATCAGTGTTAAATGCTTCGTTCATTCTCGGCGATTATTTCTGGTGATAATAACACAGAATCATTGTTGGTTTTAAAAGAGTTTTAATACCATCTACGAAACGAACCGGAGATAAGTATAAATGATATTTAACCAAAAAATCGATTTGTTGCTGCAAAGTGGGCAAAAACTACATCTCTTCTGATATGGAATTGATTTGGTTTTATCAAGTGTGGTTCATTCTGGCATCGTGCATCTGCAAAACTTGTCAAAACTCGCTCGCATTTGAACTGGTGTAGTTTAACTTTTAAACGGTTTGAAAAGAGTTGCACACGTTTTCAATGTGTGATTGCATTAAATCCAATTTCATGGTGTGCGTTCGAAGAAAGAGAGTGAGATAATTATGTGGTACAAATGGGCCTTCACTTGCACAATTGCATTCGTTAATCTCATGTGCACCGTATGAAATTTCATACACTTTAAGCGGTCACTCTCGTTTTTTTCCCATTCCACTGCAGTGGATCCAAATAGCTTTGAATGTAAAATAGCATTACATTTTAATTCGTAATATCTTCATTCTGTTGCCGATGAAATGTAACGGAACGAACTACACATGAAATCCATTCAAAACAAAAGGCATAAAATAATGATAGTATTTCTATTTTATTCAGACGAGAAAAAAATGCGATTGTAACCCTCAATGCTTGTGGCGGAGGAGACTCGGATGTCTCGTTCGATTACGTCAGCATATTCTTATAGCAAAGTGGCTATTAATATGACTTTTGGTCAAGGCAAAAACTATCGAATAAAAATTGGATAATATTCGAAGCGAAAAAAAGGAAACGAATTATGCATATAAGCAGGAGAAAAGAAATTTATTCCGAGAAACCACACAAAAACAAACATATACACACAAACCAAAGGGAATGAAATTTGTTTAAGAATGTGAACGCCTAACCCACGACACAGCTCACAACGCATGGAGAGCATAGAAAAGCGTCTGTTTTTAGGTTGTTTGTGTATTTTTAGGATATCGTGTTGTCGTTATCGTATTCGTACTTTCTTTCGTCTCTTGTGTTCGTTTCTTCATCTCTTCTTTTCTTTCGTCTGGAATATCTTTTCGTGTACTTGGTAATGTTTAGATCTCAAATTTCAAATTGCTCAGTGAATTTTTTTTTTCCATCATCTACCATTTCCCTTGCTTTCTTTATTTCGTCATCTACGTTGTGCTGGCATTTACCAGCACTTATTCGTATTTTTTTTCTCCTTCCCTTCACATGTGTTTGCATAGTAAATACTCTCGCCCGTGTATCTATGAATTTGTGCACAAACACATACACATTTTAACAACGCCAACGGGAAAAAAAGAAACAAACAGCCACGAATCGGAGAACAAAAAGTACATCGATTGTGTGGAGTGTAATGAAATTTTAGGGTTGAAAAACCGTTGAATTTCCGATTGTTGTTGCCAATCCAAACAATTTGATAGATGTGGCGCACTTATGTATTTAAAGAAACTAAATGTTGCGGCACATATGATATATTTATAGCCATACAGATTGAAAATTCGTCTTGAGCAAACTGTATTCGATCGATGTGCTTCGATAAATGCAGCACAACGACAACGACAACGACAACGACAACGACAACGACAACGACAACGACAACGACGACGATGATGATGTTGAACGAAAATGGCTAATGCTGAACAGATTGAAACGGCTCAAGTGTAACACCATGCCACAATATTTGTTACGTCGACAGTCCACCATATAAATCCCATTATTCAACAGATATGAGACATTGTTTCTTGCGGAATCCTGCGTCGATAAGAGTTATGGTGTGTTTTTACGATGAGTTTATGTTTCCTTCATGCCATTGCATGAATTGAAAATGGGGTTCGATTCATTGATTGTTGCTATTGTTGGTTTGAGCATTCTTTGCTCCCTCTCCCTATCTCCTCTATCTTACTTTCCCACTCTGTCATTCACATGCACATTCTATCTGTCGCTTCATCGAAACGATGACTAACAACAGCCACTAATGAACTACCGTAGCAGCGTTGTAGAATCTACACGTTTTTTTTGTGTCGAATTCATCACCCAACCGATTTCTCCTCATTACTTTTTTCGCATGGACTGTGTCGCATTTATAATTCTCTTCATTAATACTGACTGGAAAGACTGTTTTTTTTCTATTTTGCACGAAAAGGGAGGAAAACATTGCTAGAATAGAGTATATATTTACCAAAACGTTGGGTTCACCGGTACGGTCGTCAATCCAAGCAAGAATTATATCAGATTCGCCGATTTTTTCACTTTTATACGAGAAACCTAATCCAACGTAGCCGCGCGTATTAACTGTCGCACGGAATATTATATCTTTGGGCGTTTTTTTCCAATCCAATACAAATAGACCATTTCCGTCGAGGATTTCGGTGCGAAACCATTTTGAATGTTGACCACCATGCGAATTGTGATGATTATGAACGTGATTCGAAAACACTGGCTCCAATTGAATACACAGAACAAAGAACACAGGCACAACACTCACAATCCAACGCACCACCACTGAATTACCGCCACACATTTTGTTATATTGATTATTGTGTGTGCCAACACCGAAGAGTGGTGAAAATTACACGATCAAAACAAACAACAATTTAATTTCACCGTCGATAATCACTTCCTTTTTTTTCTTGGTGAAAATGTTAAATCGAAGTAAAAAATTCAATTATATAGTCGCGCGTACACATCACACACACATAAAATCTACTGTTTAGCAAACAAAACACTCGAATTTCTGTTTCGATACGATCGAAGAGTACACAGTTCTTTTTTTCGTTACAACATCAATCCACAGCTCTCATTTAACCTTCTGGCCGTTTTAACAACAAAAATTATACTAACACATTAAACGGTCGACGTTTCATAGCTAGTGGCAATGAGACCACGCTCAAATTCGAACCAACCAACGGAACAAAAACAAACCTCTACATTGCACACAGCCGGAATAGAATAAGGGAAGAGTCGGAATGAAACATAACGATCGAACGAACGAACAAACGAGATGCGAAACTGTAGACACCGGTGCTAAACACACACACACACACATACATACATACACATTGTGATGACATACTCGCAGCAAAACAAACGATTCGCTTTGCTTGGCTTGCCTTGGCTTGGATTGCGAGAGGAAAGGAGATAGAGAAGAGCAGAGACGAAGGAAAACATTGAAAGAAGAAGGAGATGGCATTTGCAGACTTAAAATCCGTGAAGAAGAATGGTTTTTAATACAGAACTGAATTCTAAAAATTGAATTTGGAAGAGACCAACGAATTTGATTGAAATAAAGTACGTAAAGCTAGAGTTTTATTTTTCATTTCGGTCACCCAATGCTTTTCTTATGAGGATGTCATCTGCACAGGTAGGAATTATGTATCGTACGCAAGAGCCGTTGAAGATCAGCAAAAAGAACGAAAAATGGCCATCCATTACGACTACCAACATATGCTGAATGCATTCAATTTATGTTGTCTTCTGATCCTCTGTTTCGTCCTTACTCTTTTCGCCGCACGTGATTTCACATGCATGTGCCTCATCTGTCTGTGCGTTTGTTTGTATGTGTGTGCGGCGGCAATGTGCAGCAATTGTACGATCAATGAATGCATCAGGAGGATTTGTTTTTTGTAGATTCGGATTCTGGTTGATATTTATATTGTGTGCACAAGCCACCGCTGCATATGAACAAATCCAATGAAGACAAGAAAATGCAGAAGAATGACTAGAAAACCGAAAATAGTTTTTAAGAAGGAGCGTGCACAACGGACAACAACAGCTAAAGAATTGAACCATTCACCATTGAACCGGGGAGAGAGAAAGAAAGAGAATAAGAGGAAATGTATGCGAGCATATAGGCTTATTAGTGAACGTACATTTGTTGTTGGGTATCGTTATGTTTGTGTTTCGGTTGCAGCAATTGCAGAAACGGAGCAGATGTTCGGAAAAAAAAACGTTGAATCCACTTTTATTTCGGTACTCATTGAGATGTGTTAGTGTAAGTGTTAGCGTTCGTGCTCTTGTCTGTGTGTGTATATGTGTGCACAAGTGTACAATGCATCGGAATACAAAGCGAAACGGTCGAGTTTATATACTCAATTGAATTCAGCCACTCTCGAATATCAAATGAGAGCTATAATAATAAAGAAAAACGTTACTCTCCGCGAAAAAATTGAATACAAACGAACATGTAAACCCTTTTGCTCTTGACACTCATAACCCATATATGCAGATTTACCCCACGAGAATCATACTATTTCTATCAAACTATTACAAAACTTAACCGAAATTACACAATCGTAACCACAACTATCCTTTACATCATGAGAGTGATGCAACATGAACACTCTCCTCGGATAAACACACAATCTGCATTCGACTCAATCTGCTTGAATATCTCAATCGCTTCTCAGTTGATATTCCAGATATAATAGGTAGATGTTTTCACATGGTTTGAGGTCACCTAAAGGCTCTTTTTCTTTAAACTACCTTCCATGTTATCGACTGAATGTTACCAATACCGGTCGATGTTAACAGTTAATGTCTTATGCAACTTGATTTAAATCACTGCACTTCTGATAATCACTAGAAAACACGTTGTACACAGTATCAAGGCTGTTCAGTTGGTCGATAATTGAGCTATGAGTGTAAATAACACAACGTGATATAATTATTCATGATGTTATATTCACAATTGAAGCAAAATATTTTTGGATTTAAACAATAATTTTGCACTCGATTTAGGAACGTTCAAAAGCCATTTTCTATTATGGTAAATCTCCAGTAAATTTATCGATACATTTTTTTAGCGTATTAAATGTGCTCATCATAAATCGTAAAGTGATATTTGGAAATATTACTAGAAGTATGTACTTTTGCTTTTGAACGCGACGAGTTTAAACTGTCACTTCTTATTCGCATCGTATGTAGTAATTTTCGTCAATTTTACGTGATGAAAATCTATGATCCCAAAATTTTCGACGGGTTCATCAACTCATGCAATAAAAAAACTGTTGAATTTCCGACGAATCAACATTTTACCCACGAGTAAACTATCGAAAAGTGATACTAATAATAATCTATATGTTATGTGAATTCTGAATATCCAAGCAAAAACTTTGCCGAAACCAAACGAAAAATTTATGAAAAAAACACTCAAAGTTGAAATATAAAAAAATTTGCTTCATTGAAGATCAATTTGAAGCGTTTGCGGTTTTCAATGAATTGATATCCCCATTAGCGAGAACAAAAGAGAAAGAGAATCTGAGAGAGAGAGAGAGAGAAAATTATGCGAACATAGTTTTGGAGCTTCAGTTTGGCAAACAGAGTGTGCAGAAATAAAACCCAGACGTAGATAAAAGAATGAGTCATCAAAATGGATGGACGCAGACGGCACCAATTGCAATAATGAAGAGTAACCAATGTATTCTTTGATTTTCAATAACGACAAATGGATGCAAAGAGCGCACACGAACATCGAATACGAAAGAGTTGAACAAACACGGCAGCATGTGCAATGGTTCATTCATGCGTTAGATTTCGGGCCCGAATCGAATTAAATGCGTTTGCACAATGACACCGATAAAGCACAACACATGAATCTGCTCACAGCCAAAGTGTGCAAACAGAATAGTTCCATCGCCGGAATGCCATTGATAAAACTTAATCGAGTATGCAGAATGTAAGCATCAAATATTTCAAGACTAATGTTACAACCAAGTGATAGTGTATACTCAATCAAAGCTAATGCGTTTAATCGATGTGTATCCTGCAGCTGAGCTTGTATGCTTTCCATTTGTTGCGTCGTAGCAAGTGAAAAATGCGACAAATGGCACAATCATCGTTTTGGTTGTGCTTAATCTTTGAAATGTTGTCGCAATGTAATTCCAACGAAAACGTTGCTGCTCGGTGGACAGACAATAGAAGCGGAAAGTCATTGCAATTCTTGTCGTTCGAATAACATGAATTAAATCAGTGTTTTGACCGTACCCATAACGATTCTGTCACTAATGTTACTCTCAACCAGATCTTAAATCACATCACCAATACTGAGGGTTGAAATTCTGAAAATCTACACATTTCCAGATGAATATTACTATATTAGAATTTTGCGTCACCATTTTTCGCTCACACAAACTTCTATTTACATTGTCAATTCATCGAACTGAAATTCATTTGGTTTCGGGCGTTTCGGTGCGGGGAACGTCCGTAATTAGGGAACCAATCACTTTGTTTGCTTCGCTAATTTGGCTGTGTACACGAGTGATGTCTGAGTCTGTGTTTTGCACACAAAAACCACTAATTATCAGCTGTACCAAATCAAATTTGGTGAAGTAGTTTGGGGTTTTTGTGCTTTTGCTAGTGCTCGAAGAATGAAAGAGAAATTCGACAATCCGACAGCATAAATTCAATCGTTAATCATTACGATTAATGAACAAATAATGACACAATTAATAGATTAATTGGATTGAGAGGTACATTTTTAGTCCAACCATCATAATTACTATTATCATTAAGTAGTTCATTGGTTGTTGACATTTGAAGAAAGACAAAGAAAGAAATTCGATGGAATGCATATGTTCTGCATTGCGGTTCCTAAGAATGTCAAATCCAGATCATTGCAGTTGAATTCATGGAACAAATTCAAATGTATTCAATTATATCACATTGATTTTTTGTGTCGTGACAAATTTATAATGAAATCTGTAGAAAAAAATTCTCTTGAGAGAATAATCAACATACAAAATTGGTATCATATCAATCCCACATAAATAACATCGAAAATCTTTTGAACTCGGGGGGAAAGAACGACACAAATTCAAAGATAACATGGAAATTTTGCCAATGCCTAACAAAACGTGCAAATGCGTGCAAATGCGACAAACGAATGCAAGAAGATGTATGCGTATTTGCCATTCTTATTCGTGCTCAGCGAGCACTGCTCACTACGAACGAGACGAAGTAACATGAAAACAATAACAAAAACATAGACGAACGCTATGTAAATGCTTGCAAATGGACGTGAATATGGCAAATACGTCAAGTCGTTCTTCCCCCTAGCTTTTGAATAGACATATTTTTGTTTGATATACCGTCGTTTTTTTAGTCAAAATCTTGTAAATTATCGATGTTTGACAGATTTTTATCGCATTATAGCCGATCGAACTGCAACCGCATCGTAGGGGAGTAGCAACGACCATGAAATATATGTATTTTATCAAGTTTATTAAGCTCTTTCCAACTTTATGCATAGTGTCGAACTTTTGCTGAAGCTCTACCATCTAAATGTACAGTAAAATAATTTACTGGCACGACGTTAGATGGCGTTTTTCCTGGTCAAAAAAATTGATATATCCTTTTGGTGCGCATAATATATATTGTTTTAAATGTCTCAATAGCTTCAAAAATTTGGAGACCCAATTTGGTGCATGAAAAAATGACCCACAATTATTTGAAAACACAAAATCTAAATTTTGTTGCAAATCACCTTATTGTTTTTGCTGTTGTAGCACAAATCTATGGGTGAGATTGAGAGTGGAGTATGTTTTTTCTTCGATTTATATTTTTGAAAAGGCGAGTATGTTTTCTGATGATTCTGTTGGCGTTAAAGTAGAGTATGTTGTAGTACCGTCTAGCCTCCGCGGTCTTCATGGTTTTCGCGCAACTGATAAAAGATAACAACATAGTGTCTTCGGCAAAGTTGTAGTACTTGAGCTCTTCTATAACTAAGCTGAAGAAAGTTATCTCTTATCTCTTATCAGTTGCGCGCAAATCGCGCACATAAAAAAGCAAATTTTATATAGAACTTTTTTTTTCTTATCATTTTTCGCGCTTTTCGCGGAACTGATAAGAAATAAGAGATAACTGTCTTCAGCGATGTTATAGAAGACCTCGAGTGCTACAACTTTGAAGACACCAAGTTGTTATCTCTTATCAGTTCCGCGGAAACCGTGAAAAACCGCGAGGACCCGCTAAAAACGAACATACTCGCTTTTAACCATTTTTAAGTCGACAGAAACTTGCTCTTCTCTTTCGTAACAAAGTCAATCAAACATACACTACTCTCAATCTCACCCATAGAAATGATACACGATTGTACTTACTTTAAGTGAATGCGCATTTCGAAACGCTCTACGGGCGTTCATCATCAGCACAAGAAGCGTGTCTTTTTTTAGATTGGGACGGCAAAAATACATGCAATTTCTGAAACACAAGGTTATGTACACAATGTCAAATAAACCTCAACCTCATCATCCTTCCACGATTTTCATACCCAATCAATGCAATCTTGAATGATTTCGATCGTTTCCATTCAGTTTTTGTTCTTTTTTCATTCATTTTCTAAAGAAAGTTTGATATTTTCATTGAAAAATTAGAAAAAAAAAATTTCGAATATTTTAAGTCTTTCCTGCATGAAGCCCCCTTTTGGCGGGCAACAGTTTTCCACCCAATTTTCACATTTTTCTTCATTTTTCGGAAAAACCAACATTTTTTCCGTTAGTTATTCATCAAAATAAACCAGGAAAAAAATGTCCAGCTCTGGGAAAAATTCATGCAGTTGAGGGTTAAGTGTGACACATGCATTTGTTGAACTTTTTCTGTTTGTTCTATATGCTGTGCAATAAAAACCTTAATGTAGTGCCAAAACTTATGATACAGATGTTATTACACATTAAAATATTGACTGAGCGGGAAGTTAATCGTGTGAAGCAGATGGGTCCTACCTGGCCGAATCATTCCTGGCGAACATCCTTAGTGCGCATTCCGTTGCGGTGCCAAGTACCATTATTTTTTTTACAAAATTTCCTACGAATAACCGTCATATTTGACTTGGCAATTCTGGAATTGAGTCCTGTGGAATAGATGAACCCGACCTGGTCCGATGTGATCTGGAAGTAAAGTCCTCCAGTACTCATTCCCTACGGAAATGCTAAATCGCATTATTTTCGCCGAATTCCACTCGGATCAGCCTCAAATTTGACTTGGCAAATCTGGAATTTTGTACTGCGATCTCAGTAGCTGCTAACAATATTTCAAAATAGCAACAGCTATCGGCTATAAATAGCAACTACTGATAGCTCGAAATATAGGCGTATACAGAATGGAATTTTTGCTCGCTTCTTCCAGACGACAATATCAGTACACTTGGTGGGCTTATCTAAGTATTATATTTGACCCATTGTTCGCTGTGTTTGTAGAAATAAAATTCATTTTGAAGAAACCAATAAATAAATAGATAAATAAGTGTGGTAATCTCAATAGATTTTGCCGTGCTAATATCTTGAAACTCATATTATTGTTGCCCAAATTCTTGCGTTTAGTGATAAAAGGAATAATATCGTTTGATTGTTTCAAAAATTAATATTGCAATTTCGTGATAAAACTCGTCCGATTGATTATTTATTAGCAGTGTTGGGTAAAGATGAAGATAACAGATAAGATACAGATAAGATAACAGATAAGATGGTATCTTTTATCTTATCTCCATCTTATACTAAAATATCTCATCTTATCTAGATACATATTTTTTTAACGGTATCTTTTAGTATTATCTAGATACTTTTAAGATGTTTTAATGTTCAATTGAAAAAAAAAATCTTAAAATTTCAAATATTTTTTCATGGTTTGTGAAGAAGACTACTATTTATTATTTTAGTCTGAAATTGTAATTGATTAAAAAAATATGATAAAACATCTTGAAAAATATCTAGATTCTTTTAAGATAATATCTTATCTTCTCAATTTTTTGGATAAGATGACAGTATCTTATCTAGATACATTTTATTCAAAATGAAATAAATCTTATCTTATCTAGATACAAAAATCATTATGACTGCCCAACACTGTTTATTAGAGAAGTGGGCTTTGTTTGACGCATATTTTTGTGGTCGTTCTATTAAATAATAAACGCTCAGAACAAAATCCAATCTAATCTCCCTTTTTTTCTCCCATACAAACATTTTGAGACGCAAAACATTTATCCGGCCTAATTGAGTGTGCACCATTTGAACTGTAGTTATGAAATGCCATGTATTTGAATAGCTTCTTTAAAATGAAAAAAAACGTTATGCGGTGATAATTGCGCCTTTTTACTGGTAAATTTATAAACGCTGTCAAGTGTTGTTTATTTATCTTGAATGATAACATTTTTTCTCCATTTTTTGTTGTAAATCGCTATTGAAATCGTAAGTGCAATGCTGTTAATTAAAGTGTTTAAGAATTTTAATTTGATTTTATCGAAACCGAGCCAATAATCAAACGTTTGTTTGCATTTCCGAAATCATACAATGCGGAAAAGTTCCAATAAAAGTGAATGAAAAGTGAAAAAAACGATAATACAATAGTTTAAACGATTTAAATGATTTTGATAATTGCATATTGCGGACTAGTGTTTTTCCACTTTGATGGTATCGTTTAACATGAATTATGAGCTTTTCTCCACAATATTTATATTAAATTCCCAATATTTACAAGCGGTGCGCTTGTCAGTGTTATCAAATGTTGTGTACTTAGTCACAAAATTAATTTTGAACTGAACAATTTAGCAAGAATGGGATGGAACACTGGGCTGGAATTCTAAGTCATTCCACCAAAATCATTCGGAATTATTTTTTTCGTACATAAGACCATATTGGAGTGAAAGAGAGAGATTCCACTATTTTTCAGCGTTCCACCGGAATTATTTCTCACACATTCCACTCTTCCTTGAGTTATCGGAATAATTCCGGTGGAATGCTGAAAAATAGTGGAATCTCTCTCTTTCACTCCAATATGGCTTATATACGAAAAAAATAATTCCGAACGATTTTGGTGGAATGACTTAGAATTCCACCCCTGGTAAATGGAATGTCAAATTGGAATCTATGCTAAACATCATTTAGCATAAAACCTATCGAAAATGCGTAATTGTTCTGAAATCAAAGTGTTTGACTGACTGTTCATCATGAAATTCGTCACGCCAATCATTAATTGAATCACGATAATATATTTTTTTATGACAGCCTATTTATCGCTTGTGCTTTCGGCCATGTGCCGTTTGTCATCAAAAACAAATCGTTTTTCAATCACGATAGATAGCCCCAATTCTATCGATTTCATCTATGTTATCAGTGTCGGGTGTTTTTTTTTTCAAAAGGCAACCCATATTTGCTGAGGTCGATTAAACTCAATGAGAAGCATTCATAAGTTCAGTATTCTGTTTATCAGTTAAACAAATAAAGAACCGGAACAGAGCGTTTGAGAGAGTGTGCATATACAACACAGGCACACACACGATAAGTGCCATTGATACTAAACTGAATACCATTTTCTACTCGTTGAATCCCATTGCGCTGGTATTTATTTTATGCGATACTTTGTTCTGAGACAGTAGTGTTTCCTCTTGTGGTTTTGTTTGAACAGCACCACATTCGGTTCCGACCGGTGCATTTGACAAATTTTTCCATTGTGCATTTCAATTCGATGCTATCCGATTCTCTATCGGTTTGACATCGAATTTATTAGTGCTTACGTGTTTTCAATTACCAATTCGAGCTGAGAATATATCCAAGGCAATTACCCAGTTCAACCAAGTCGAACGAAACAAAACATATTCAGTGTTCAACCGATATTTTATGTGGGCTGTTTTAGGTCTGTGATAAATGAAGATGATGACGATTGGACATAATTTACTCATTGCAGCAACAGTTCTGGCAACAGTGCACACATTCGTGATAAATCCCAAGCAACCGCTATGTACAAGGTAATCACAAACTAAAATCATTGTTACCATTCAAACGTATTAAATAATCTCCTTTACTCCTTGTTATAATTTGTCTTTTGATTCACATTTATTGCTCTGGCATGACTGAAGTAAAAGTTTTGCCTTCACATCGATCACAACAACGGTCCTATTCTTTTTGACTTTGACAACTGATATTGAGCGCAAACACCACCTAGATAATCTAAGGCTAATGACAATACAATCAAGTACACTCTCCGTTCTGTCAAACGTCACACTGAAGTATAATATACAGACATAACGAATTCGCCATCGGTTCTTTAGATGGCGCTTCGGTCAACCGAGTTCCAAGCAAATACATGTATCAGTATACAAAGCATTCCACGTTTGGATCACAAGATGCATTTCCTAATGCTTATCAACTTAAAGTCACGTACAACAGAAATTGTGCATTTAATTGATATTTGTCTTTGACATTGGTTGCTTTCAAAGGAAACTGAAAGTTTTACGAAGAAACTGATGTGAAACCAATAAAATAAGGTCAAACAGATGAAAGAATTTTTACTGGAAAAAAAGTCCAAATAAAAATTCCATCAGTTTTGATGCTCATTTCCGGTAGGGGATTAAGTGCAATAAAAATGTAATTCCATTACATATATATTGATATCGTATATATCAACCCGTATGTACCGTAGCATACGAGTGTTTATATCAATGTCACACACGACAACTGCATATGCGTCAGATATGACCTAGCGAGCAAACGAGCGTAGCAAGCCTTCGCTGTTTTCATTCTCTCGAAGTGAGTACACTTAAATACTTTCATCGTGACAAATGCATCAAAATGAATATTTGAAAATCATAATTCAGGGAAAATCCTATGGATAAGAAAGAATTGGCCATCAAATGCGAATAAACATGTTTTTTTTCTCACGCCAATATACGCAATTCAAACAGCGCATACATATCGACTCATAAATCAAATGAGAAATACTAGACTGAAGAAAATACAAAGGTTTTATGTTTTAACCCATTTTGGCTCGCGATTTTTCTGCTAGAATGACCTGAATATTGGCACAAAAGCTAGTTTTGGCACAGATATGAAAAACTGGTTTCAACCTCTTACTTTGAAAAAAAATCCAATTTTCTTGTTTTTTTTCGCTTTTTGCCGATTTTCCGAATTTTCAAACAGATGGGCCTGGCGACCTCTAATCGACACCCTAGATGTTAAAATTAGCCAAAAAGCAAAAAAAGGTCGATTAGATTTTGAGATAAACTACATTTTCTCTTTTGGGAATCTTCGAAAATTTCGTGTCTGAATGGCTCCAGGTGGGTGGTAAATCTGAAGCGTTGCGTTTGCGCAACGCGGGGCCAAAATGGGTTAAAGCGTCGAGGACGAAATCATTCTGCGGATATTCTCCGAATAGCATAAGATCTCAACTGGCTATCATCGTCGGTTTGATTTACTCTGGTCATTTGGGTGATCCGTTCTAATCAAGTTAACGATATATTTTCTCTCCCTTCGCCTCCATATTGCAGCGAAATCTATTGCAGTGGTGAGGTTTTGCACACAATTCAAATGGCTAAAATATTCAACGATTCGAAAACGTTCGTCGATATGAAACTGAAGAAAACACCCAAAGAAACTGTACAATTGTTCCATGAGTTTATGGCACAGCATGGCGATAGACCAACTAGAGATGATATTATTCAATTTGTTAGTGTGAGTAGAGGCATTAGAATTTCAATATTCATTTGAATAAACCAAAAGTAGAAAAAAAACTGACATTATTTTGTGGGAAAAAATGAATATTGAAATGCAGACAAACTTCGAGAAGCGAGGCACTGAATTCGTCGATTGGGTACCTGACGATTGGAAAGAATCACCAAAGTATATGAGCAAAATTAAAGATGCAAATTTTCGTGATTTTGCTAATGAATTGAATAAACTGTGGAAGATTTTGGGACGAAAGATGAAAGACGATGTTGCTGTAAGTGTGAATATAATAGTGAATTGAACGGATCAATTTCAATTTGTATGAATTTTCCGCATTTTCCGCTGTCGTTTCGTCGTATGCAGAATAATCCAGATCTATACTCAATAATTTATGTAAAAAACGGTGTGATTGTGCCTGGCGGTCGTTTCCTTGAATTCTACTACTGGGATTCATATTGGATAGTTCGTGGTTTGCTCCATTCGGAAATGTATGATACTGTCAAAGGAATGTTACGGAATTTCTTTTCGGTAATCGATCGTTATGGATTCATCCCGAACGGAGGTCGGAAACTAACAATTAAATGTAATCGATGATTATAATATTATTTAAATTTAATTTTTTTTTTCATAGGTCGAATCTATTATTTGATACGCTCACAACCGCCAATGTTGGCAAGCATGGTAAAATCGTATGTTGATTTTACAAATGATGTTGAGTTCATAACCGAAGCGTTGCCACGACTCGAGGCTGAATTCGACTTTTTCACAAACAATCGCGCACACAATGTACACGGATATGAATTGTATGCCTATGGACCCAAAGCTCTGAACGGCCCACGACCGGAATCATACTATGAAGGTACAGTAGCGTGTATGTCTAACGGTTTTCATAAGAGAAAAACATTTGTTTTGAGGTGTTTGTTTGTGTTTATTTTTGATTAAGATTATGATTTGGCGCGTCGTTCATTCACAACTGAAGATGAGAAAATGCAGTTTTATTCGAATATGAATGCGGCGGCGGAGAGTGGATTCGACTTCACTGCTCGTTGGTTCATCAAAAATGGAACGAATGAGGGTCAGTTGCGCGACAACAATGCTCGATCCATTGTACCCGTCGAATTGAACTCAATGATTTATTTCAATGCCAAAATTCTTGCCGATTATCACAGCAAATTGGGAAATGACAAAATCGCTGCCAAATACGAGTACAAATCGCAAAAGATGCTCGAAGTGAGTTGAACGCCCGTTGAAATGGTAAAATGATGATGTTCTAATCGCACGAAACAATTTGTCTGTCTCATAGGCTGTAGAAGCGGTGCTATGGAATGAGGAGGATGGTGCATGGTACGATTATGATTTACTCAATCAAAAACATCGGTCATACTACAGCAGTACAAATCTGTCACCGCTAATGCACGGCTGCTACGATATAGCCAATAAATCAGCTATTGCACGCAAAGTGCTCGCTTACATCGATTCAAATTCTTTGGATGCTTTTCCCGGCGGTGTACCAACAACACTAATGCAAACGGGCGAACAATGGGATTATCCGAATGCTTGGGCACCATTGCAACATTGGTTGGGTGAAGGCCTACGCAATCTTGATGATAGAAATGCCACGGATCTCGCAAACAAATGGACCAACCGTAAATAATTTTGTTGTTTTTTTCTTCTTCAATTTTCATTCCAATGTGACACCAATTGAACCCGTGAGCATAAAAACGACTTATTAAACAATCGCCGAACAAAAAGATACAAGAAAAAACTACCGAACAAAACATACCACAGCGGTAATGTGTAGCACAGCGGAGTTTCGTTTTGAACGGTACCGTCCTGCTGTGTTACTTTTTTAACGTGTGTTTTGTTTGGTAGTTTTTTCTTGTATCGTTTTGTTCGGCGATTGTTTAATAAGTCGTTTTTATGCTCACGGGTTCAATTCTTGTACATATTCTTTCCAGGCTGGACACTTTCGAATTATATTGCATATAAGGAGACAAAAGCTATGTTTGAAAAGGTAATTTCGTCGGTTTATTTTATTGCTTGATTTTTGACACATAGATGGCCGAACTATTGAAGGTCACTCAGCAAATCGATGACGGAATAATCGATATTTGTGACACAGATCTCTTGCTTTTGATTCTTACTAGTGATTTGGTAGAAATAAGATGGGCTTTCTATTTTTCAGTATTCGGCTGAAACACTGGGTGGTCACGGCAATGGCGGCGAATATGATGTACAAATTGGCTTTGGCTGGACGAACGGCGTCATTATCGAATATCTGGCAAAATATGGCGATAACTTAACGACATTTAATTGAATTTGCTACTTAAACGCATCGAATCGTTACATTTGATGTGTTACATTGGCGTTGTGATGTGGATTGAGTTGTTTTGTATTGCATTGTACATATGCGATAATGTGACAATAAAATTGATGCAATTCGTTTTAAATCAACAATCAAATGTATCCATTCTTTCTTTATGTTGATTTTAACAAATCGAATCGAATTTAGTTTTGAATATTTATGCATCAAAAATTCCCTTATGCATGATAAAGTTGTGAAGCTAATCATTCGTGAAAACAATTGTGCATCCATACAGCGCTGTGTCGGTGTATGTGCTCGTGTGCATTTACAGTGATGAAAAAAAAGAAACGGTGCATACGGCCAGACAGTAACATTGCTTTAAATAGCAACATAAAGCGTCAGCACATTGACTCGAAGCGAAGCGAAAGAAACAAGATGATCCAAATGAATGGCACCAATAAAATTTCAATTTTCGTATGTACACCAGAAGAGCAGCGACAACAACACAAAATATGTGTTCGTCGTTCGTTTGTTCTTTGTTTGTACGTACATAAAACCAACGACTCAGTCAATATTGGTCGTTTTCACGCTTGTCTTACGCTCCTATTGTGTGCACTGTCTACTCCAGTCGTGTATTGTTGTTCGAATCACTGCAAGTGCGATGCTTTCTTGTGTTGTTCATTGACAAGCGCGTTTTTCTTTCGGTTCCTTTCTTGTTGATGTTCACCGAATTTCTTTAGTCAACACATGAAAATGCCTGAATTTGATTCAATTATTATCATGTGCGCATTTTATCACATTTTGCACGACTCGCATCAAGAATATAACAAAAATGATACCAAGAACAACAATTGAAGGTCAACAACTACAACGATTTTTCCCCAGAGCATCGTTCGCACAACGTCATATTGTTCGTTTTTTTTTCCGGTTGGTGCACAGAGAAAACTGAGTTGATTTTTACGTAGCAAAATGTTCGAAAGTGTCTAATGAAAATTGGTGCATAATTTGAGACACGATGTAAGGGAGCTGAATGTCTAATTTAACAAATACTTGAGTCAATATGTAACAAACATCTGTTGTGAAAAACCCAACATGTGTTGGAATTTGACACTTTCAAACATTTTGCTACGTAAAAATCAACTCAGTTTTCTCTCTGTGTTTTATTTTAGGCTATTTATATGTGCCTTATACTCCCCATCTTCAGTCCCATCTATATTTGGCGTTCATTTGCTTCCTCGATGTTTATCGGATGCTTAAGCTCAAATTCTTCAACTATAATTGTATTTTGTCAACAAAATAATCGGATGAATTGGTTAACACAACGCTTGACATTGCCAGCACAACCGTATTACAATGACGTACATCAGCTCAATGAAAGCGACAGATAAACTCCTCGCTCTCACTCTCACTCTCACTCTGTCTCATTCACAGATTGGACTTTCTCCTGGTGCGGTTGCTTGCATTTTGTTTAAATAACTCAACCTCAAAGATGGAATTCCACCGAAGATAATACCGAGTGCCGCTTATTATTAAGTTTGATTCTATTGAGATTTATTTACGATGCAGACGCTTGACTCGCACAAAACTTTTTCGACATGAAGCTTTCATGCATGCAGCTAGGCATGCAGTGATGAATGATTGTGTAAAAAATGTGTGTTATCCATTCTCTGATTTATTGTTTGCTTGTACGCGTACTTTTTACTTCTCCTTCCAAAAGTGCAACCTACCACTTTGGTGAAAGCGTCTCGAGAGTGTAATTTTATCTGTGTGCGGCAATTGTCAATTCCATCCAGAAAGAGAATCAACAATTCCAAATAAAAAATGGTGTGAACAAACCGATAGAACACAAACTTTTGCCGCACATCACGTATTTCATTGTGTCTATAAATACGCACACACACACTTATATATTTAGGAAAAATGCAATGATAATTGTGTGTGGGCGCACTTTGTTTGTTTATTTATTCACCGATTTCTTATGCCCGGCACCTACTCATTGGTCTACCGAGCACATTTCTTACGTGATCGCTAAATAAATACCCATGCGAAAATGACCGGTCACGTGAAAAACGTTTCCAACCATGCTAAATCAAATACTCACCGGAAATAAATTAAGTGTCACTCGGCTCCAAATCAACGCCGCCAATAGAACCAATAGTGATTTTAACAATACGGAATAAAAATTCGTTTCCTTTCAATTCCATGAAATGTCCTTCGATTCACCGTGCCGTCACATTTTTAAGTAATGAATTTTCTGAATGTAGTACAACGACTGCTAGTGTCGAACGTAAATGCACGTAAGCGCTGCATAATATTAAACGCACCCATTAATTTTTCATTGTTTTCCTATTAAGAATGGATGCGTTTAGTATTATGTGACTTGACACTAGCGGTCCATGATGTAGTAGCTCTTGAATTGATGTCATTCAAGGAGTTCAGTTTTAAAAGTTTCTTCTTCGACCTTCAGCAACTGCGAACGATCTACTTCATTTCGATGGATTGACGCACAATGGCTTAATTGAATCTAAATGACTTCGAGTCAATTTAATTGCAACGAATTCATTTTGAACTTACTTTTGAGTGAATTAATCAGGACAGCGATTGAATTGTTTTCCAGCTCTTTATGGGCAGGATTTTTTTCTGCGTTGCAAAATGGACATTTTCCGTCCTTTGAAAGAGGAGATCCTTTGGAGCGAGAAATGGGAATGATTGACCAGAAATATTTTTGCTTCATCACCAGTCAGTTCACTTGCTGCTCACGCATTCGTCAGTCAAAACCACTTTTTGATAATCATTTTCATTCATTTGTCGTTCGAATACTGCTCTGGCTATGCACAAGGCACATTCCATTCATTAATTCAGCAGTAAATAAACAGAAACTTAGTTGAAAATATGTTGACCAAACTTCAAGTTCTTGCTACTTTGTTCGAGAAGTTTGAGTGTGGAAATGAAATACGCGAATGATGGCAATCTATACCGTTATTTGCCCATGATATTTCAAGGTTTTGCACTTTCATGCAAATAAACGAAAGGAAAAAAGTAGAAAACTGTGCCGTTCGCCAACCAATCCATCTAGAGTTATTGAGAAATTTAATTCATTTGCTCGCTGTAGCACAAACATAATTGGAACACTTACAGGCAAGTATAAATTGAATTGTGCTTCACTTTCTTGAGCGTAAATGATGTCTTACACCATAAACTTTGAACAAATAAATGTCCGTACCACAGTGTATATCGAAAATATGCCACCAACTAGAAGAAGCACTGAAGCTTAATGCAAATAAGTTTTGCGACGAAGGATGAAGATTTTTCCTTTGGCTTGGATTTTAGCAAAGTATTTTGAAAAATTCAAATTGTATATTTTGATTGATTTATGTTTTTGTTTTTTGGGGGAAATTCTGGAACATAATCTCATAGGCTATAAATGGAAAAATAACGAATTCCCATTTTGCTGCGCTAAATTTTAAATTGATGTTACCTCGACTTGTGTTGATCTTACCTTGTTACCTTAAGCAAATGATTGATTGCATCAACATGGCACCTTAATGAAGGAAAGCATTTTACGTGCGTAAACGTTGACATAATTTATCGCAAGAAATATAATAATAGCGGTTCAAAAATAGAGTGTCGCTACCGTTTAGATAATAATGAATTTTTCTCCCATTCATTGGAATCGGGTATTTTTTTTTCCTGCTTCCCTTCAATTATTGACCATTTTTTCTTCTCCCAATTTGGAATTGATAGCCTTTTTTGTTTGCTTCAGAATTTAAAAGATGAAAATGACAAGGCTTGAAAGATTTTAAAGGTTGAAATTAGAACAAAGAGTTGCTTATCACCAAGACCTATGTAAATACCAATATAAATGGCCATCGCGACAACTCCGCCTGCAATAAATTGAATTTAAGCGCTTTCATAACAGTACATAAATGCTTGTTTTTTTTTATTAAATCACATTTACTAATAGTCGACAATAGAAATTAGGCTACGAACTAATTATCACTATGCTCATTCCAAATCAATAATCACTCTGGGCAAGTGTATTTTATGGGAGCACATCCTATTAAATCAACAAAATGGTGTTCGCTATGAAACAAAGGATCATAATTTAAATTTGGGAAAAATTATTTACATTAAATTTACAAAAAGGGAAATTACAAACCACAATCACCTCAACTTTCTTTTACCCTAATTAAATCAGAGTCTTATTCTATTTTTATGATTGCGTTTCCGAAAGTAATTATTGGAGAAAATTCATTACCTCAAAGAGAGCTTCGCGTGCATGTTTTTGACATGCAAAATAAATTTAATGCCCTAACGTTTACGAGTATGATTTATGAAAATGAACAATCCCATTGGAGTTGGAAGATAAGATCCCAGTGTTGGATAAAGTCCGTCTTTTATGTTGATGGTTTTCCACAAATTTTCTCAAACTTACACACTTGAAATGACTATAAATAAACAATGGAAAAAAACCTAAAAAACAAAGTTTCTTTACGCCATGAAAATTGTGCTTTCTAATCTTGTTTATTTCTCTGGTGTGAATGGTATATATGAAAAAGAACCGAAAATTGTTTAAGTCATCTATGCCACAGCACACAGCCTGTAGGCTTTCTCTCTCTCTCTCCCTCTCATAAGCCTTTGTCGTGAGTTTTGCGAATTTTTGCTCGTTTTTCATTCAACTCCCGTTTTACACGGAAACTAAGTACTGCGCTTTTATAATAAATTGGTTCACACACAAATATAGACACCAATTGACGGACATGAGCGTTAAATGATATGCAGTGAAAGTGAAATAAATCCATTCAATGCTGGTTTTCAATATCAATTGTATTTCGTATACATCTATGAATTCGTCCGAATTCTTTAATATATGCATTGTTCCGAAGAAAATATTGGGTCAATTGTTCAACTAGGCTAATCTATCACTCTGTGATGGTTACAGACGATTATTTGAAGGAAAAATTGCTCAAATCTGCTGATTTCCAATGTTTATAATTCAATCGACGCTTGATCAATCACAGTTGATTTATCAGCAGTTGTTGACATAATTAAAGGACCGATTTATCACGTTAATATAATTCGCACGTAATCAACACAATTCATTTAGCCACTTGACAAATCAATCGAAATTAACTGTCTAATAAACGCACAATTCCTCATCGATTGATATTACATGTATATACATACGTAAATGAACTTATGCCTTACTTCTTTTGCAATAATTTTTTTTTTTTTTCAAATGTTAGACATAACGTTTATGGTAAATATACCACATGTTTGAATTTGAATATATGGTTTTTTTTTATACAAAAGAAATAAGCCCAGTCGAACCGTTATATAAATGACCGTCGGCATTTTGATTCCACAAGAACCAAATAAAGAAAATGAGAACAAATAAGAATCGGTTACATTAAGAATGTAACATGAACGAAAAAAAGAGGTTGATGAGATGATTACGTTAAATTGATAGGGACATTGTTTTGACGTCACCGGCCAATGTTGCACAACATTAATAAGCCGTATCTTTTACCCTTCTTCCGGGAATAATTCCCAATCATTTTTATTGTTGTTTCATTTTATGCTTCATTTGAAGTCTCATTTTGTGAATCAATTTAAAAATTATATACTCCTTTTTCGTGATTTGTCTTCGAATACTGTCTCAAAGGGTGAATTTCGCAATGAACGGATTGAGTTTGGTCTTGATTTTTTTCTTTCTGTGTGTATGAGTGTGGGTGTGTGGGTGTGTGGGTGTGTGTCTGTGAATCAAATACTTTTTTTTCTTTCTTTTTTTTTATTCCAAATGGAAGCCATTTCATTATACGGTCAATCAACCGGTGCAAAATTTGATATGATTAAACATTAGCAATGAGCTAAATCCGAAATTTAGTCAATTTTACGGCTTAAGATTGGAATTGCTCACTTATTCGTGTTTGTCGGTCGTTTTCTCAATGTATGATCTGTACACTGCGTACGTTATTATTTGATCTTCTAATACATAAGCCTTGGATTACAGCCAGTCTCTTAAAGGCCTATTGCCCTCATTTGAAAGAAAATGCTTTATGCTCAATGAGCTCTAATGCCAATTTTACTTATGCGCCTCGTTTGCCTATGGAACTGTGTGTTTGTGTTTTATATTAACATAATTGAGCCTACAAGTGCAAAGAGAAAATAAGAATAAAAATAAAAATACTCTGTGACTTATCTAAAATTTAACCAATCCAAAAGCTTTGCATTCAAATTCCTTGATCACATCGTATAAAGTATAAATATTTCACAACAATGAATGTTTACAGTCTGCATATTTGCATGATTTATTTGGCGGAAAATATTGAACTATACCACAAATTGTATGCGGGGGCTGGCTTGGGTCCGATTATTCAGCTGTCGGCTTATCCAGGTCAATTCCATAGTTATTGTTGCCATTTGGGAATATTGTGATGGTTGTCTCTTGGAGTTGCCTTGAACTTGATTGAAAGGGGGAAATTGTAAGAGAAAAGTGCGCGATAGAGTGAGAGAGAGAGAGAGCACAAAAGGTTCTTATACTTTGTTTAAGCCAATGTATATATTCGCAAATGTTTTATTTTTGTTCTCTAAGCCATTACCTGCCCAGCATCATTTGTTGACAGTAACGTTTCGATGGGTAGCGACGCGATATTGTCGAAGTCAACGACATATGATTCCTTAATGGCTTACGCGGACCTTTGCAAAGCAAAAACCTAAATGTTCTTAATGTGCAATCACATGGAGAGAGAGAAAAAGAAGAAACGAAACGAAACAGAGAAGATAATACGAAATCCAACATCAAACAATTTTTTTTTTGCGTCAAAGAAAAAACTTATTGCGTTCCAACACTTTTTTTTGCTGGGACCTGAAGCAAAATTATCCTGTGGCCCTATAATGTTCTCTTGATAACACTTAAAATGTTAAATGTAGCGCCAATACATGAATTCAGGGCTATCCAACTTTGGCATTATTTTCTTGAAATTTTCTTAGCAGCTTACAATTGTGGCGCCATGAAGCGACTGCTTCATTCGCCTCCATGCTAAGACGGCACTGATTGCTCACATTCATTTTAGTAGGTACTGTACAGAGTCTATACTCCAGACACATCTAATCTACATATTAATATGGAGAGGAAGAAAATACGACACACACGTGTACATTTGCAACTAAATGAACGAAAATATCTGGTAAATTATTAATGAAATTTGCACATGGACGACGGCATCTTAGAGAGAGTTTGTATGTAAGTCAATGGTACAGGTAAAGAATTGGAATAGAGAGAGAGAGAAAGGGGGTGGATGGAAAAAAAATAAATGTGGAAAATGGTTATTAAATGAAAATTGTAATTGAAAACGGTGCTCAGGTTATTCAATTGCGCGAAACGATGTGTATTATTGTATTGGTTATAATACGTATTTTTCCCGGGGGTTTCTTTTGTTACTTTTCGTAAAATATAATAAAAAAAAACGGTCTTTTCCATCGAATTTAAGCCTGAATTCGATACAGGGTGTCACATTTATTGGCAAACGATAATGGAAAAAAAACGGTAAAAATACGAAAAAAAAAAACTTGAATTTCAGTTTGGCCCATTATTTTGAATCGTCGCAATATTTAAATCTTTAAAAGTAGTCAAAACAAATCGTTATGGACCATAACTTATGGTTTCAAACCCCAAAAAATTTATTGTTCGATAAGAGAAGACATCGTTAACTTTCATATGGAGCGACCCTGTTCTTGAATCTGCGAAGTTTCAATGCAATACTGGAGGCATTGCATGCGCATTTCGCTTGCATTTGTATATAATACTTTGACGTTGCATCAGCAATTGAATATCAAAGCTATTCAAATGCGATACAATCAATTCTAATATGAGCAATAATAGACTTGAAATGGAATCAATGCAAAGTAAAATTGTAGAATTGTGTCGTTTCATGGAGCAGCGACTAAGTGCAAACATGAGCGGAAAAAAACAAACGAAAAGTGTAAAAATAGTAATAGCTTCGAACGATATAGACAAGATTGAACCATAAGAAAAACTTGTACACAATGCATATAGCTGCTGTTATATAATCATTTGTTGGACTTTTTCTTACCTGTTAAAATGTTTTCGAAATGCAGCACTCACGAAATACAATGCGATTGGATTGGCGCAACTATTTCCAAACGATAGACAAAATCCAATGATTCGTAAAACATGCCAAAAGGCATTGTATTCTGCGTGCGAATTTTTACTATCATTACGTACATACGAAACCGATGGAGGGATGATGACGGTGATGTCCAATGGACAAATTACACAACGAAAGTGAAGGAGAAAAAGGAAAAAATGAAAAAAAAAATTGTATTGCTTAACAAAAATGCATTAAATTCAAAGAAAATGTTGAGGCAAAAACGCGTTTGAAGTCAAAGTCAATGCAAAAATAGACGCGTCGCGGATGTGATGTAACTTATATACCATTGGACCACCTCATCTAAAAGAGAGGAGAGATTGTTTTTTCGAAGTGGGCAAACCCATTCAGTTCGGTTTGATTTTTTCCTCTTTTTCCGACTCATTCTTTGCTCGCCTGAAATGTACCGTCTATGAGGCGACGAAATGCATTTTCACAATCATATTTTCCAATTGTTGAGCCAGTTCACACATACACGTTGATTCAATTCAGCAACAACAACGGTCTTCGGGATTGATGGTAAGGCGTACAAAAGACGTACAACACACAGAGTATGAACATAATACACTATCCGTCAAAAGTTTAATCTCATCAGCTATCTTTCATACAAAGTGCCGTTTTTGGCAGCGTTTTCATCTGTAAACTGTGTAACCATACAAAAAAATTTGCATGCCGATCAGATATCATTTGAACGATATTGTAACAGATTTATAACAAGAAAAAGCATCGAATACTTCTTGGAATAATATGAATAAGTTTTGTGTTCGAATGGGCATAAATTTATATGCAGATAGAACGAACAAAATCAACTTGTGCATATCTTTCCGAAAAAAGTCTATTCATTTTTTTTCCTCAAGATTTAGTATTACGTTGCTCAAATAGTACGTGTTACATACTTTTTGGCTACACAGTTCGTAAGCATATTTGAATTTACCATGAAAAATCAAAATTTCCTATGAAAAATGTCTTGTGAGTCCAATCTTTCGATGGGTAGTGTATCACATGATATTAGGTTCTGCTTCAAATAAAACTAATCCGCAGTGAGTTTGCAACACTTGAACTGTAAAATAAAACTCGCTCACATTCTTCAGTCTTCACGCGAATGAATATTTCATACGACTTCTAGCCGAACTTTTTGCACGCTTTCATTTGCAACTTGACTTAAAATTCAATTCAAAGTTATCTTATTGGTTTGAAGCAAATAAATCACATTTTTCTGATTATATTGCACAATTTTCTCTGAAAATTTAATCTATTGACTTTGACCGTTGCGATGTGTGGATTGGGTGGTTTATGTTTTCTGGGAAAAAGACGAATATGTTCACTTACTTGAAATAGAACCAAAGCATGAAAGCATGTTGTGGAAAGAAGCAAATGCAGAATATTGCCACGAATGTTATAACTGTGATAGCTACTTTTCTTCGTGCCTTCACCTTGAGAGAAAAAAAAGATAAGATGACATATACATAGACATTATGACCTGGAATTAGTTCAGGGCAGTACAAAAAGTACATATGATAATTATGGCGTAGGCTCTTGTTGCGTTTTAAATGTAGTCATAGGTTTGGATTTGATACGACCGAACTATTGACCTCAAGATAGCACATAAAAGCCATACTCCTTAGCAGAACATCACTTCCGACAAATGTTATGTGTTCTTGAATGAATCGTTTAGAATAAAAGAAATCTCCACAAATTGGGCTCTGGTGTCGCTTTTGGTGTTTTTGTATTTACAAAATAGAGCGACGAAAATAAAAATGACCGTGCTTTCGTTCATTCTGAGCGATTCTGAGGAAATACCGAATGCACGCAAATAAAGCCAGTATATAATATAAATAAATAGATAGGTTTACCTGTCGCATAGCACCTTGCATTTCACCAGGAACACCGGCTCCATATGCCAAATGTATGGCAATCATTATATAAAATAGTCCAATAATCACTAATGGGATTGCATAATAAACCAGAAATTTGGCCAAGACAATACCCTTGGCGTAGTCTTCTCCGAATTCCTCCGGAAATGGATAACAGTATTTAAATGATGTATTTTTGTTGACATATGCATGCTAGAAAAAAAAATGGGTAAAATAGAATGGACGGTCTTGATTCAATTTCCTCATTGAAAAATGGAATTTGCTACGAATATCGGATTTGTAGCCAAAGCGTGCGAGCGAACTAGTGAGCCAGAGATAAGCGTGCACTCTTGATGCGGTTTATTTGCCACATTATTGAAATTTAAATGTATCAAGAGCAAAACTTCGTACCTTCACATTGGATCCAATCAATGCTGGAGCAGCACACAGAATGGCCAACATCCATATAAATGCGGCTATCATAACGGTAGCAAGCGTTGTTCGTTTGCCAGTAACACCTGTGAACATTTCCACATACAAATCATTCATTTGTCCATTTGACTAACAACACACAAGTCAAATATTCTAATTAAAATGCACAGCGATGACTGTACAGCATTATATGTAGTACATCATTCATCGCACGTTGAGCATATCAATACATATCGAACGGAATTAAGCACTGGCTTCGCTTGTGATATGTACACAATGACAGCCATTCATTAGCAGCGAAAATCAATTATCTTTAATTAATAATGATTAAATTTGGCACCTATTGCGTATTTTAAACGATGGTGTCTATCACATGATTTATTGCAAAAAAATCCCACGCGTCATAGGTCCTATACGCATAGGTCATCCGATCCAAAAGCTTTGATTTATTAGATTAAACGCATACCGTTATAGGATACATTCTCAAGCATTTTGTGGTAAAGAACAACTGGCTAGCTATCTCTCCACCCTTTCTTCCTCCTGCCGACCACTGTTGAATACTCTAGTGCTATATGCATTCAATTGTGGTCGATTTGGAGGCGTAGCACGACAACCAACAAGAAGAAATGAATTATACTTCTTGATATATTCACATTTAAATGTTTATATTTCGATGCATTGCATTTGATCCCAAGGATTTCCCTCACCCCCTCGAAAATTCCGAGTGGTAGCCACATTTGCACAGCTCAGCACAAAATGAATAGAAACCATGTTGGCTTTTTCTCTCTTTTGCATAATTGAAGATGTTACCGGTAATAAAATTTTTGCCAACTGGGTCAAAATGTTATTTTAATCACATACTTCTGCAGATGGTGAACAGGTAATAAATACAGCTGAAAGAAAGACGAATACGAAACTTACCAGTTCCTCGAAATCGCCGCAGTGGATTCACAATTGCTACAAATCGGTCACATGACATGGCTACCAGTGTGAATACTGATACACCTGTCGAAAAATCCTTCATAAATTCAGATATCATACACACACCCGTACCCCAGGGCCAACTCTCAACCGTATAGACGACGGACACGAAGGGAACGGCCGTCAATATTAACATTAGATCGGCTATCGACAGCGACAAAATGTGCCTAAAAATAAAAGACACCCCATAAGCATATTTGAATGTGTCACAGGAGCAATGCAACGTTGAGTGTTCGATTCGAAACGCCTCGACAGAAGAAAAAAAAAATTTGACAATTCAATTAACTTTTTATTCTTTGCAAAGTATTTCCGGGGGGACACTTGATACACAGAAAGAAAATGATGTTGGTTTGCGGTGCTTTGCACCATGCTTTCATTCAATCTAGGGTAATTCTATCACATACAAACCAAAAGATGGCACAGCCCAACATCATATTATTTTTGTGTGTATGCTAGAACATGTTGAATGCTTCCGATTTCATTTATCGGTAAAACACTACGTCGCATTATTCCTCGCATATACTCATCAAAATAAATTCAAATATAGAAGTGGAAGTTCTAACGACATTAAACAACAAAATAGACAAATATTCCGGCAGACGTATCATGTTTCAATGGCAGTAACGGTAGTGCATATCACACTGCCATTTCCGAAAATAGGCGAGTGGCATTTGACAAAGTCTTGGGTGAAAACATGATGAAAACAATGATAAAAAAAGGAGTACTTGTGGCGGCACCTAGCGAATCCATACAACTTTCATATAGTTTGTTTATTGAAAAAATGGTAGGGGAAAATGTGGAGGGGAAGCAGTCTATTGAATGTATAGGCATACATGTTCCACTCGCCAGGAGGCAGTGTAAACTGTCTTTTCGATGACATTCAATATTAAAATATGCAAACATTGTCGCACTGGATAAAACTATACAGTTTAATTGAGTTGCAACGTAATCAAGTAGAGCATCACATCATTTAATCACTAATGTGATAGTAAATAAATTAGATTTTACTATTTTAAACAACGCTTAATTAAATAGCGATCGATACGTTTGCAAATTATGTTTGCATCGATGCAAAGCCATGCGGAGACTTGTGTGCCAACACATAAAAATATCCATATTTTCCATCTCGCATATTTCTGACTGTTGGAATTCAATTTTATTTGCGATAGCATAGAAAAGGCGTGCATGCGTGAATCGTTGAGAAATGAGTCTGTTCTTGATGGTTAGCTAGTATTGCCAAAAGTAGGTAGCAGTATGGTAAAGTATTATCTCATGTGATTTATCGAAATAAAATTATTGAATCGCGAACATTTTCGAATTGTTGGCATTGAGCCACACACATACACACACACACAATGAGCATGTAACATGTTTTCGATGTTACTAAGTTGTTAGTCGACAGAAAGAAGGGGAAAAAAATCTGCATCAAAGTTTTTCACATTGCAATGAAGAATGCCTTTGACAAGCCGTAAAGTCCAGAATTATTTTGGATGTGTGGATGAGCCTTTCGCCATTTGATGAAGATTTTCTTTAATTTGACAGAGACCAGCTTATATCCAAATTCATTGTGATTGGGAGATACATAGATGGTGAGAGAAGGAGGAGGTGAAGTTGGTAAATGCGGCGCTTTTATCGATACTTGATTAAATGTTCTTTATGTGTGCATTTGAATGTTCGCGGCCGTAGTGTTGTCTGCCGATTGCTCGGCTTATTTCCCATCGATGTGTCTAACATTCTTCAGCGGCTTTCAAGCATTTCATTTTGAATTACAACTAACAATATATCGGATTGTAGCGGCGCTGTTGCTACTGGCAAAAAATTGCTGAATTGAACGCATAAAAGGAAATGGCTCTTCTTTTATTCACTTTCTGTAGAAATTTCGAACGCCTTTCATTTCGGATGTGAGCGTGTGATTATTCGTGCGTCGACGAAATATTACCGAATCGAACGCGTAAAATTGATCACACTAGATCAAGACATGTCGATGGTATTTGTCTTGACGGAATTGCAAACGGCTGATGAAAAAAAGCTCCTTCTTTCACACGAAAACTAAATCTGATTTACCCTTTTACCAAAAACCGAAAAAGAAACACACGAGAAAAAAAAAGCGATGCTCTCTCACATTGGGTGCGCAAAAGGACGAATGCCGAATAGTGATTTACGAAAATGAAACGGTAACGACACCCATTACTTATATTGAGACATTACTTAGTTTGTTTAGCTTATCGCTTTGTCTTGAGCTCAGTGTCTCATCGAATTTGATGAAATACACGAGTCCAAGCTCGCATCTACGGCAATTGAGAAGGTAGGTAAAATTGTACCGAGTTGATAATGTGCCATAGTTCTTACTTGTTCGTTACATACGACATCCCTTTAGTTTAGTGGAATGCTAGTTAACGACACGATGACGTAAATGCTCTGTTTTTGTTGCTGTACTCTATGCTACCATAGTTAAATTGCATTAGGCAAACGAATACGGCCGAAGTGTTAATTTCGACCCCCTCTGAGTAAAACCCAGAGCGCTCAGTAATGATCCGAAGTAGGCACATAATCGGCCCGGACAAAAGTAAAAATGCTACCAAAATAAAAACGAAGTAATTTGAATTGTAATAATTTCGTGGGTGATTTAGCACGCGTCCAATTTGCGGAACTCTACAACCAAAATCAATTCAAGGAAATGCTTATAGAAATTGGTAATACTTTTTGTACATTATTATGTACAATTGCGTGACTATATATATATATATATATATGCACGACAACTTACGTGTTGGGAACATTACGCATCGCACGGTGTTTGACGAAGACGGCGATCAGCATCCCGTTTCCCATTAAACCGGCCAGAAAAATGATGCCAAATATAATGGGCACGATATATGTTTCGGGTCGATAAACATAACCTTTGTACGATACTTCCTCTGTGTTGATTGTTGTCGTGGCGACCGTAGCATTCGTATCATTAAATTCCATTGACCATGAATCGGGGACGGTGTTGATGGAATTGGTGGCCAGCTCTATCAGTGATTGCTGTGATTGTGTGATGACCGACCGCATCTCTGCCCATTCATTTGTGGTCGAATGCATCATCATCATCATTTGGTGGTGACTGTGGTTCGCCATCTCTATTGTACTGATAGCGCTCGCTTGAACAAAGAGCAGAATCAAACGCACACATGCACACGCAAACACCGAAAACAATCAACTTTCTCCTATCGAATGTTGCCAAATGTTGGGTTGCTCTCTCTCTCTCTCGTGCAGATTTCGCTCTCAGTCCGTTGAGAGCAAACTTTTGTTTTCTTTGTTTCTACACTGAAGATTCTCGCTGATATTTACTTAAACTTTCATCACAAAATGAGAACTTGAAATTTACTCGTCTTTCATTTCATGCAGTGAATCAGCAAACTAGAACTTTCGTCCAAACTATTCGCTTGGCAGCATACAAAAAACACCTGTTTTAACAAAAATGAAGAAGAAAAGAAAAGCGAAAAGAAATTTAGTTATTTTCTTTACAATATCGAACTCTCTACTACAAGGTCAACAACTGCAACAATAAAAGAAAAATGAGAATTTGATTCGTTTTGAAAAATTTATGTTAGTAAGTTTGTGGAATCGATTCAAGATGACCTTTTTGAATCGACTGATGAATAGATTTATACGATTTTTGCATGGCCCTTATGACACTACTTGATGTCATATTCCTTTTAAATTTCGAACATTCATGATTAGTTTGTCATTTATTCACCACTTTCATAAAAAATTTTGAGCAACAACAACAAATTGAACGCTCAACTTCCGTCTAGTGTATTCTAATTTCAACTCCCATACGATTTCTTCGGTCGCTCTTATTCCACTCTCTATTCCGGTGCACATCATAAAGTGTCAAGATTCATTTTTCTATTGTACAGACAGCGTTACCGCAACGTTGATGCTAACACAATAAGAGCCTGTCATCGATTAAGCTTTTGATTGTAATGGGACGGAAGCAATCATTACCATTTTTCTCGGCTGAACTGTTTTTGTCCATTTCAGAATTCATCAAATCAGTGACAGTTAAAAAAAATCTCGCACAAGCACTAGAAAATAATATTAAAAACAACACAACACCACCACACAATGTAAATATATTGGAGAAATTTTTTTTGTCAATGCTTATATTTCCATAAGAATTACCATTGGTTCGTATAGGTAGATGGCACAGGTTCCCTTTGTGTCAAAAGCATCGTCTCCGCTTGTCAACACAATCATAATAATAATTTTTTTTTTGGCTGCTGAATGAACGTCCAAACACACAAACGCACACTACCCAATGCCAGGACAATTGTTATGGCCACAAATACCAACCACAATTTTTCATCGCACAAGATGCTCAAGTAGCGTAACCGAATCGCTTCGTTTGCTTGCTTTAAAAATCATTAACAATTCACATGTGCGCACACCACTTTTTCCATCGACAATTTTTTCCCCCTGCTTCGCTTTAAATACCCATTGCCTTTTTATTCAGCTCCTTTGCAAACCGCAAGAGTTCATTAAAAGTTCGTATTGCGAGTACACACTGGGAAAAAAATGTCCGACTTTTTTTTATCATGTAAATCGCTTGTGGTAAAATTCCATTGGAATCATCACAGCTCGGTTGGGGTGTTTTTGTTTTTTTTTCAACGATTTCACATTTTTTTTCTCTTTACAAACTCATGCAGTTGATGCGAGAACAAACTCAATCATTTCAAAAGCTCTCGGAATCCATTCTGATTTATGTCTCCGTGCACCGTAAACAAAATTAGAGTAGCCAACCAAAATTATCCGAGGAAAAAAAGGATTAAACGGAGAAAAAACAAATTAATATAAATTATCACTGTGAATCAAGCCCATGGTCATGGTCGTCAAAAAAATGCAAAAATTGATGTACTCGGAATTTTAGAGTTTTAAATTGGTCTGAAAATGTTCGTGGTCGGAGCTGAGCTGACTCATATGCATAAATAATCAAAAATGTTGAACAATCCGCAATTGGCTCAGTATGATGTAAATGTTTTTCATTTGATTTTGTACACACACACACACACACAAAAGTGCATGTTTGGCCCGTGGCACTGCTGGCAAAAAATGTGAACGGTGAACATAGTGAATTAAATCAGGAGCAAATCATAATTTTCGAACAAATGGAAGCAAACGACTTTCTGAATTTATTGACGTGTTGGCATATCGCTCTCAATAGGAACTGCCGCGAAATAAATAGCTAAATGCGGAAGCGTCTAACCGAATTTGATTTACGAACAAACACGTCGACAAAAGCCACCTTTTCTGAGAAAATGCTTGGCGATAGCAAACATTGGTGCAGAACCATTGATGTAAATCGTGTTTAACAAAACAAAGGTAATTTAGCACTTGGTTATTTTTTTCTGAAAATGGAAATTACATTTCAAGTATGTGACAAGGAGAAAACACATTTAACGTTGTTGTTGTCGCTGTCGTCGGTTTTTTTTTTAAATTTGAAATCCAATTCAATTTTCCTTTTATAATGTCCAAAATTTTATCGTCTGCGGAAATACTTGGCGATAATTTGATGTGGCTCTTGGAACTGTTGCCAAAATGACTTTTTCCCTCCTTTTCGTTCAGTCGCTGTTGCTCTCCCGTCAGCAAGCGTTCGAAGTAAAAAGTGAAAAAGTGCAAAAACTAAGCCCATTTCAAATGATTTATCGCGATTAACATTCAACACCATCCTGTATAAAAGGTGCCCCATGTCTTAAATAAATCGGAAAAGTTGCGGGCTCAAAGTGAGTGAAATGACTTTTGAATGCACCAAACACCACCGTTGGGGCCCCAAAATTTATGTTCGAAAATGATATTTTGGTGAATTTCAACGGAAAAGGGGAAAAAAACCATCAATCAGCCATTCACTATTCATCGACAAAGTGAAGGCACAGTCACAAAATAAATCGCAATTTATTTGCAAAATCAAGATAAAATGGTATCGATTCGTCATCACCAGAAAATCTTTGTGGTAAATAATAATGGTTATTTATTATTTCCTGTACGTATTCGCACCAATATCTCTAAATAAACAAGTTGATTGCACAAATAAGACTAGTAAAATACGTTAAATTTTCAATTAAAATCTTACAAAATACACTTGAATTTCATTAGAGAACCCTAATGTCTGTTTGCCAACAAATGAATAATTTGAGTGCTGTCAAGAAGGAAGATCCAGAGCAAATGGACGACTCTGAGGGTTTTATATCTTTTTCTTCAACAATTCCCACATAAAAGGAAACACACTAAATATCTGCTTTTCGCGAGCCGTTGTAAATATATATTTATTTGATACATTTGAAAGTGCACGCCTCTTATTTTTCAAATAACGGTTTTTACATCTTTTCAGCACTACATGAAGTGTAGAGTTATTCGATTTGTTTGTTTCTTTTTCCAGCCAATGAATATTTTCTAAACACCTTGTTGATTTTCAATGTGCGATAGAGATTTTGGTGGTGACATATAATGTTATCGCTCGTACTAATGACCACTAGTATCTGTGTTAGATCAACAAATGAATAGTAAACCAGATATAACTCAATTTTAGTATTTTTGACTTTTTTTCTCGATGGATATACATTTGATCCAACTTTTAGTTGCATGAAGTGGAACCAAATCGATGTTTTAGTATTATTCAAACCATTTAGGATGATAATGATATCATTTCTAGGCCAAGAATAGCGAAAATTAGATTGGGAGATGATAAGTTTTATTTCAATTTATTATGTCTTGGGCTTATTATGACTCGGAATAACCGTTCGGGGCTAAACTAATCCCTTTGAACATTTATTGACCGTGGAGCTATCAGTAATACTTTGCTGCTTTTCATTAACCATGATACACTCTTGAAATGACTCTTAAATCCAAGACAAGTGCTGTTTTTTGCTCAGAATAAATTTTTGAAATTTTTCAAATTGTGCCGAAAAGATTTTTGGTCGTTATGGCTCGCTATACCGCACCAAATTAGGCCATTTACCACCATTTATCCGGATCGATAGCCCCCATATGTAGGATAAATTGGCTCTCTTATGTGGAAGATTTATCCGAGGATACATTTTCCAAATTTTCGAAAAATAGATCCAATTTAACCTCCCTTTGGGGGCTACTGATCCGGATAAATGGTGGCAAATGACCGAGACTCATTTCGGCCCAATTTGGAAAATTTCGAAAATTTATCCTGAGCAAAAAACAGCACTTGTCTATTTTCTTGGATATTACTCTACATTTGATGTAGTGCTAGAAAATTTAGTTTAGACTGAAATTCGATGATAAATCAATACGCAGAGTTCATGTCGCGAAGCGAGCTAGTTGGGCGGAGAGAGCGAAAAGACGCGCCCGTCATGTTTGCATTCTACGTTTGGAAATGATTGAATTTGTGCGTTGGAAATGCAATTACAAGCAATTTCCTTCAATTACTTTTAACAACGTCTTCTGTCTAAATGATCGAAATTCAACGTGAAAGCAGCAGTAATTTAAATTCTATGTTTTTTAGTTCAGCAGCGTGCAATGTGTATTCACATCACAGCTATGAGAAAACTCAGCGACATGGTAAATCACCGATTTAGTTTCAAACGAAATCACTTTTTTTCTGCACTCACCCGCAGAATTTTGAAGATTTATGCATGAATCGAATATGATTTCGCTTTATTATTGTGTCGGTTGTTTTGGTTTGATTTTGCTCTTCGCTTTTTTCTGAAGAAAAGTGTCGTCATTTTCCGTTGAGATTGACGATGATAAAAACACATGCCATTTCCAAATATATGTGAACATGTCTACTGTTTTGGACTCATGCTGACACCATGTACACGCAATTTGCACAACCACAAAAGAACTTCCAATTGCGAAGCACGGGAGCGAATGCGCGTACCGAAAAAAAGCGACAGGAAGTTCATTTATCCAACTCACTTTTGGCTACGACTGAAAACAACATGCCAAAGAACGGTTAGTTTTGTAGCGTCATCGTTTTTATTGGGCTGTGCCGTCTGCTAGAACAACAATAACCACTATAGTTCAACAACGCATAAAAAATCACACCATAACTCAATCCTGCACCATCGAAATGTGTTGGATAATTTGGAGCTCTTTCTTTTTGCCGTTTTGCTGCGACTCTGTATTTAACGCTCTTTGATAATCTCTCGATGTTGTGTACTAAGTACCCTTCATTTATGTCATTGTCAATGTGGGGGAATCTTTGCCAATTTTTCTTCATCACTTCAAAGATTGACGTATGTGACAATCTTCCAACCGATGATAAATTCTAAAGCCGCTTCTGTGGTCGCGTTAATACGATGCAATTCAATGCCAGCACATCATCCGCATACACACACAAAAAATACGCTGTACAGTGAGGGGAAAATTCGCTTTTCAGCTTGGTGCCAAAGCCTCAAATATCCAACTGAGCGAATAACGGAACAGCGTTGCGACA